GCAAAAACTATGCGTCCCCAGCAAGGCTCGAACTTGCGACCTTACGATGCCACAAGTGTAACAGTCGTACGCTCTAACCAACTGAGCCATGGAGACGACTGGTACGAAGCGATGCTTTTCATCACTCTAATCAGACTTAAGAGATTCATCAACTCGCTAGGCTCTCCCTGACTCTCTACGGAGAGTAAATCTTGCTGAATTTGGACCATAAGAAGTATATCATAGCTTATGTTGAGGTTACGTGGGCATCATGTTTGATATCAACGGCTTGCGCCGGACCAGAGTTCCGGGTACTTCAACCTCTGAGAAGAGTGTGTGTTGCCTTTATGTATGGAAGAGAAAGTAACTCCGGACGTATTAGAGGTTCCACGAAAGTCATTACTCTTAGCAAGCACGAATCCAAAGCAGAGACTTGAGCCTGATGGGCGATGACAGTGTGATTCATAATGATTGGCATATGGAATGGCGACCATAAACCAATAAACCCTCCTGAAAAGTTCAGATAAAAGACTTCAAAAGGCGTAAGTTCACCTTAGCGGTGCCATTTGCAAGAACTTGTAAGGGCTATATTCGTTGTAAACAACATGCAACTAAAATGGCCAAATAAGGAATCTTGTCACACTTGGAGCCGAGTCGAGTACGTAAAAACCAAGTAGGGCTGGAAAGGTACCCAGAGTCGGTCTCCCCCGAAGGGAGACTAGAGTTCCCGGGTGTTCTATCTCTTAGACAAGAGATATTGTAGCTCCAAGTAGGACAATTGCGATCACTGATGCTACAGAGGTAGTGTGAAACCCAGTATTAACGAACGTGGGGGACGAAGTAGCTGAAGTAAAAGACGTTGCAGGTGTTGCAGAACGGGTTGAAGTATTGGGACCCTCAGCAATGACCTCGCCTGTAAGGACAGACAAAAGAAAGGGGATTAGTATAGATAAGATAGAGAGCTAGTCAAACGAAGGAGGATCATACTAGCTGCAATAATTAGATTGGAAAGATATGGCTCCACTTGTGGACTCTCTCGGGCATTTACCCGAAAGCATTGAACCAATGGTTCGATATACGTCAATCAGAGCTGATGCAGTAAATGTTTTCACTTGTGAATTGAGAGGGGAGTACAAAGTCAGCTAATGATGCCGACGAAGAGGTCAGATGCTACATACACATCACCGCAAGCAGTAGCTCCAATAGCAGAGGTTGCACATTCTTGTACGCATGGGGTGAACTGAGTGAAATTTTGGGCGAGGATGTCAGGAGGGCAGCAGCAAAGAAAGTCGCGCAAGATTTGAACATTGTTGGTATAAGATTATAATAAATGCGTGTGCAGGTATATTCCTATGAGTTTGAGGTAAAAGGAAAAGGGAATTGTGAGTGCACAAAGGACTCACGAGCCCATGAAAATTCGACCAGGTAGTTATTTAGCTACTCCGTGGACAGTTGTGCGAAAATTTCCAAAAGTTTTCACATATGGTCGTACGACGACTCCGGGGCTTAATTGGCGAATATGGACCGCCCTTAATGGTTGTATCTGCTCCAACATCCCAATACATCTGGCCACGGTCGCAATAACTCTTCACATTTGATCCATCAATGGTATCTTGGCATTTGTCTGGGCCGAGATATTGAGATTCGCCGCTTTGGAAAACATGAAGGTGTATTGTGATCAGGTCGAAGTAAGGTTATGAGCGCTCAGGGTCGCTGGGAGCTAGAATGGCAACGAACCTTGGTCCCCAGCCGCCCCAGACTGCTGGCTCTTGTACGTTGCAGCATGATAACCATCTAAATATACCAGACTTATGACCAATCTGTCCCGGGAGCACGATTCAATCGGTTAGAGACGCCGAAAACCAGTGCACCTTGTGTCAATGTGAAGAGTGTTGGCCATAGTTTTGGTTCGAGAGTGCTATTCAGTCAGTCAGGAACGAGATATGGTTTGCCACCCTTTTCATGGGACATTCTCCCCAACATCAGTCTCGCCAGTCTCTACTGCGTTGAGGACTGATGTAGGCACCACTTCCGCTTTAGAAACACGAGGTTTCCACAAGGCTTAATGTACTTGTACTTATATCTTGTCTTCGTCCTCTGCTGAGCCTCTCCGCCTTCACTTGACAATAGTATGAGGTGAGCCCATTACCCAAGTCTTGTTTTCCTTCTGACGGTCTTGATAGTGCGCTGGCTTTCGAAGGTATCCCACCATACTTCCTGTTTTGGCGCATATGTTGATGCCTTTTTCATCAGAGACAACTGTCGAACTAGCTAGTCGAGATGACTGCTTTCTGACCGATATCTCCCATCGGGTCTTGGAACTCGATCAAAACGGACGAGTCGTAGATAAAATCAACTTATTTTCCCGCGATTCAATGCCTGGAGTCTGGGATGCAGAGAAGGCGCTCCTCTTGTAAGTCATTTAAGGACAATACTGTATTGGGATCGCTATAAGACGCTTGACATACTAGACGTGAAGTCGTTGGAGAATTTATCCTATCTGTATCGATACAGACTGATGAAAATAACCGTCAAGTCATCGGTTCCATAGTACTCAATGCAGCTCAACTATACGACATGACCGGAACAGAATATGGTAGATAGAACATCCGAGTACATTTGAAGCTTCTAACGAATTGATATAGCAGAAATACAGTTGCAATCATTTGAGAATTACCCTGGCGTCGTTCTCCGAACGAAGATATTGGCTATTGAAAATCCTCAGGAGTTCGTTTCGAGAGCGATTCAACAAACCAGCAGATCAGGGGAAGATGGTCCAGAAAAGATGTTATCGGACGGAGTTGCTGCATTTCGTGATTTTGAGAGTCAGGGAAACCTGGAGAGTCTAGAGCAGGCAATTTCGAAAATGGAAGTAGTCACTCGAGTGACACCAGAGGACGAACAACGCTTTTCGAAAGCCTTAAACAATCTGGGGTTATTTCTCTACTGCCGATTTGAACAACTTGGTCATATAACAGACCTCAACGACTCGATTGAGAGACTCGAGAAGGCCGTTGCTCTGACAGCAGACAACGATGCAAAGCCTGATCATTTGAACAATCTTGGGAATGCTCTTGAAGCGCGGTTTCATCGATTTGGAAATGTCGCTGATATCGATGACTCAATCATCCACAAGCAAGCCGCCGTCGATCTCACCCCAAATGGCCACCCTAACATGCCAAGTCGTTTGAGCAGTCTTGGGAGTGCTCTTGGACTACGCTTTGGTCGACTTGGAAATATCATGGATATCGACAATGCGATCATCCACCAGCAAGCCGCCGTCGACCTCATTCCAGATGGCCACCCCGACAAGTCCAGATGCTTGAGCAGGCTTGGGGATGCTCTTGACACGCGGTTTAATCGACTTGGAAATCCCACGGATATCGATAATGCAATCATCTTCCTACAAGCCGCTAATGATCTCACTCCAGGCAGTCACATTGACAAGCACGGTGTTTTGAGTAGCCTTGGGGACGCTCTTGAAACGCGGTTTGATCGATTCGGAAATGTCGCCGATCTCAATAATGCGATCATCCATAAACAAACGGCTGCAGATCTCATTCCGAATGGCCACCCTGACAAGCCCGGTCGTTTGAACAGCCTTGGGAAGGCTCTTGGGAGACGATTTGGTCGATTTGGAAATGTCGTGGATATCGACAATGCGATCATCCACCAGCAAGCCGCCGTCGATCTTACTCCGAATGACCATCCTCACAAGCCCGGTCGTTTAAATAGCCTCGGGATTTCTTTTGAAAGACGATTCAGTCGCTTTGAAAATGTTGGTGATCTTGGTCATGCAATCATTCACAAGCAAGCCGCCGTCGATCTCACCCCGAATGGCCACCCTAACAGGCCAGGTCGTTTGAGCAGTCTTGGGAGTGCTCTTGGACTACGCTTTGGTCGACTTGGAAATATCATGGATATCGACAATGCGATCATCCACCAGCAAGCCGCCGTCGACCTCATTCCAGATGGCCACCCCGACAAGTCCAGATGCTTGAGCAGGCTTGGGGATGCTCTTGACACGCGGTTTAATCGACTTGGAAATCCCACGGATATCGATAATGCAGTCATCTTCCTACAAGCCGC